CCACAGCCGGCCATTGCGAGCAGACCCTAATATTGCGGATATTTCGAGATTGTGTTCAGTGAAGATTAAGATATCGTGTGTAACAATAGGCTTATACCATAGTATTTTTAAAACATGGTGCACATTTAGCGTATAGTTCAGCATATAGTTTTGATAAAAAATAAATTACAAGATTCACATTATTCAGAAGGGCCGATTAGGCGATATGTAGTCAGTAAGAGTAATGCCATCTATCACCTAATAGCAGAAACGAATATTAAAGGAACTAGTAAAGCCGAGAACGCTCGAGAAGTACAACGTCATCTATTGTCAGATAGAGGAACCACACATCGAGGCTACTCGACTTGCACAGAATGTTCTCGATAAATCTAGGGATGCCGTATCGACTATAAAAGCGTTGCAGAGATGGCACGCAGTCAGTCAGTAATCCCTCTGGTCTACTCGAAGCGAAACAGCGAACGGATCACCTGAAGCGAATTGAGAATTTTAAAGTGTTCGTTAAGTGTGCTAAGTGTTAATATAGTTTTAATTTCTATTTCGGTAGAATTTTCATTTATCCCGAACCCCAGCGCGTAACGTGTCTTTTGATTACATTTTGATTGATATTTTGAAAAAAAAGGTGATAGCACCGTAATTAGTAAAAATAACTATTCACTAATTGACAGCAGTGCCTCACAATAGGCCCTGATTTCATAAACTCATTTCACAGATTTTTTTGTATTACACTAGGTTATTCCTTCTTAGTGGAAGTGTTTCGTGAACATGTGTTAAGTGGGTATTTCCCGAGAAACATTGTACTTGCCCGCGGTATTTTTATAACGGCATTTACAATTGCATTGTTGGATACGAGTGCACCATATTATCCTTTGGGCTACTATTCTTTTCCATGTCCTCGGTATGAAGAGGCTCCGTCCTCGTGTCAGTGGAAGCGTCCTTCACCTAGACGGTATCTGTACTTATGGTCGGTCTACGGCATCGTCAGACCACCAGTTGAACCGCGAACTCAGCATCATCAATAACGACAGGACTTATGTATTTAGATTCGGTCTTATTCCTATTAATATTGGTTTATTTCACACTTTTTACTGGTGCTAGGACCTCTTGTGAGTCCGCACGGGTAGGTACCACCGCCCCGCTTATTTCTGCCGTGACGCAGTAATGCGTTTCGGTTTGAAGGGTGGGGCAGCCGTTGTAACTATACTTGAGACCTTAGAACTTGTATGTCAAGGTGGGTGGCGCATTTACGTTGTGGATGTCTATGGGCTCCAGTAACCACTTAACACCAGGTGGGCTGTGAGCTCGTCCACCCATCCAAGCAATTAAAAAAAAAAAAAAAACTGCAGAGAATTGTCTGTGTTTTTCTCATTAGCTTAGAATATTTCTACTGTGAAGGCTAAAGCTACAACTATTAAATAATATTGCGAGGACTAAAATCAATACATCTGTTTCTACGGCGAAGCAAATAAAGGTTTACAAGACACGGTAGTCGTTATCCCAATGTATTCGAGAGTTTAATGATGTAATTTCTTGGGCCGTGCCACGTGACAAATGCCTAACCACAAAATGCTACCAATAGCACAAGATACTATAAACGTTACAAATACTACTAGAATGGTAATAAAATGTGAGCTGGTAACACACTTTAATCCTTCTAAGATCCGTCTGTTAAGAACGTTCATAGCTCGTAAAATAAATACAAGACACTATTAAAACTATTTAGAAGTTATACATCATAAAAATACACTACATTTAGATATATGTTAAGTTTTATTTGCGCGACGGATAAGAGATAAAACTTTTTTTAATGGTTAAAAGAAACAGATATAATTTAATGAATTTCAACAAAAATAAGCATGTCCGTCTTTCAATTTAGATGTTTGATAGTTGAAAGTTCTGAAATGCATATCAAGTCAAAAGCTCTAATGTCGTTTGTTTGAAGGCTTTTGGACCTTTTATACCTCATCTAGAAACTTTGTATACATAGCTTATTGGCAGCGGGATGTTCTTTAATCGCCCGCGACACACCTGAATCAGGTCAGATGAGGGGGTTTGCTAAGTAAAAACGTAGCAGAATTAATATTATGAAGTGGCAGTGAGTAGAGCGCATTGTTCAAAAAATTAACAGTGCTCAAGAGTGCAAACAAGAACCTCATGAATAGCACAGAAATCAGCTGGAGCGCATGAATGTCGGCGGATCTTCAGAGGCCTATGTCCAGCAGTGGGAGTTTGATCTGATGTTGTTTAAGAGTAACAGTTGCTGTGACAATTCTCGAAATATATTCAACTTGATTAAATCAAAATGCAAGGTAGTTTAATAACCTAAAATTACATATTATCCGCAACACGCTTCGTCATATTATAGAAACAGAGTTATCAGCAACATGGTTCGTCAAAAAGTACAATACTTACTTTCAGCTACAACCGTCGTCATATTCTCGAAATGCCTTTCACAATTTGAGGTTTTTTGTGTGTTTTATTATATTTGGAACGAATTTCCATAGCGCGTGGAGTGGGAGTTGGTTAATAGAAATTACCATGCTAGAAATGAGATTCAAGTGTTTTTGTGAGAGACAACTTTTTTTAACGCGCTGATTTCATTCCATCTTATTTCTCTACACAATGTCGACATTAGACCTTGAAACTCCGCAGGCTATATCAGGGTAATCCCAACCAGATTGTTCCTTCGCTGTACCTTCTGTTCAATTTATAAATATTATATTTTATACCAGACTCAACGAAAGGGAAGCCCTCGTTTTTTATTTTCACGCGAAAACTCATAGAATATGGCGTTTAATTCACATAACCGACATTGCGAGACACGACGGGACGTCCGAAAGCCTCCAATCTAAGCTGACCTCTGATTATTTAACACGTCTCTCGAAATCAGGGTGCATGCTAATTTGAATTGAAATGTTATGTCTTTAGCCATGAAATCCGGACTTACCTGCGTCGAAAGCGAGGCGGCTAGTCCTGATTGAAATATAGTATATTTTTCGAGAGAACGCTCCTTTTGTGATTAGTACGAAGCTCTTGGAACATTCTCGAATAATGTTTGTCACTCAAGGTGGAAGGATCAAGAGGAGACATTAGAGTAAGTTATGATCTTTGTATACAGTTAGACGTTATGTCCGTAATATCTTATACCTTTAAACGAGCAATTCTTGTATATTAATATATACTTATATAATCTGAATCTCGGAAACGGCTCCAACGATTTTCATAAAATTTAGTATACAGGGGATTTCGGGGGCGATAAATCGATCTAGGTACGATTTATTTTCAGAAAAAAAAATTTTTGTTCGTGTTTTAAATAATCAACTCTTCCCGACATCTCTTGGTGAATAATAATACTATTTTTCTTAATTGAGGGCAACTAAACGCTTTAAAGAAACAAAAAGATGGCGTTATCAAAAAAAACCGAGCAAAGGTCATCATCTAATTACTACCAAATGTGAAAAATACTTATATACGAATTTAAAAAGAAAATGGCGAACTTTGAGTACCGAAAATATTGTTTTTTCTTTTACTAAAAACGTTGAAATTCTATACACATCCATTTTTTGAAACTTCACTCAACATTGTATCAAGAGCTTCGGCCTGAGTTTTGGTAAATAAGCTATCAGTTGCTGCGACGAGTAACCTTTAATTTATTACAAAGGTCAACAAATATTTAACTTTGTAAACATTAACTTCAAATAGAGAATGACATTGGATCAACTTAGTGGATTATACTAACTAGAGGTCCCGCAGTAGTCGAAATTCGACTAAAATTAATTGGAATTGTAAGTTTGTACACTATTATGAATGCATTTTATACTTCTATAATCACAAATTTCGCCAAGACTACACTATAAAAAATATTAACAAAGACAAACAATATTTAATTTATTCTCAATTTGACAACAGACGTCAAGAACAAAAGTTTGACAGTAAATAGTATGCATGCGTGTATGCGTCAAATACATGGTATGTAGTGTGTGTAATGTTTTCTTTATTGATTTAATGTATATTTTATGATTTATTTAAAAAAAAAATAGCATTGTGCACTTCTTCTCTATATTCTCTATAAATGTGGAAAATTTCATACTCCTCCCTCCGCGCAATTTTCGTAAAAAGGGATACAAAGTTTTTTCTTCACGTATTAATATATAGATGACGGATTAGAATACTTTATGTAATATGTATTTGATGCTAATACCAATGTGATAATCACAGCCTATTTAGATATAACCGGTCCGTTTTGTTTTCTTAAGAACTTGTTCGAAGATTGATATTTGGTCTGCTCGTTTGATGAATTTTATAGGTGTTGACTGTTATTGTAATTTTGTCGAAGCATTGACACACCTTACGTCCTTTTTATGTAATTTTTTTCTTTTTGGTAGAATATGAATTTTAATTCAGGTATTCCATTTTCGCATGTGGTCAAATTTTTTGTTGATTTATGAATACGGATCATACCTGAGGACTTTTTGGCGGGAACGCGAGGAGTGAAGTTGTGTGATTTGTTTTATTTTGTCTAATTAGTGTTTCTGCAGGTTTAAATGTGTAATAACGGGGGTTTATTAACTGTTTAGAATCTGTGAAAGTGCACAAATGTGGGAAAATGAAACAAAGCCACTGACTCGGGATCTTCCAGAAAGTCCACTGAAAAAATCTCAGTAAATGACCACAATTTTACTGAGATTATACTTTATCCCATATCATTTCATCTCATTTCATTTCATTTCGTTTTCATTTCACTTAATGCCATGTTTCATAATAATGAACTTCATTTCATTTCATAATATCATTTTCATATAGAAAAGTTACGTATCATTAAAATGAGACTTGACCTAAAGGTCTTAGTTCTTCTTCTTCTCAGTCGTACACTCCTGGCGGAGTGGTCGTGGTTACGTATGTCTTAATGCTTGCGGCTTTTGAGAGACTTCTCCATCTCTCTCTATTTGTAGCGTGTCTTAGTTACCAGGTCATAAAATCCCTCAAAAAAAAACCAATCATACCTGAGCAGTTTCACGTCCCAGAGGGCCAGCACTTCGGGCGGACGCGAGCCGCAAAGAGCAAGCTTAGGGCCACAGACGTGCAGGCGAACCGGCCCGGCGCGGGTGTTCGTCTGCGGCGATGATATCAGGATTGCGGCAAACTCTTTACTGCTGCCAAGATTGTGTTGCACCTGTAGAGCAACATTGCGAATTAGAATCCGGTGGTAGCCTAAGAGGGTATTCCAGCTGCACGCTTTGAAGTCGTCGTGGCCTAAAGGATAATACGTCCGGTGCATTCGTGTTGAGAGATGCACCAGTGTTCGAATCTCGCCGGCGGGTACCAATTTTTCTAATGAAATATGTCCTTAACAAATGCTCAAGATTGACTTCCAGCAGTTATGCGTTTCGGTTCGAAGAGCGGGGCAGCCGTTGTAAGTATACTGAGACCTTAGAACTTATATCTCAAGGTACGTGGCGCATTTACGTTGTAGTTGTCTATGGGCTACAGTAACCACTTAGCATCAGGTGGTCTGTGAGCTCGTCCACCTATCTAAGCAATAAAAAAAAACAGCTCCAGCAAGAGCAGTGCTTCACAGAATCTACCACCGGATCGGAAACGCGACCCACTGAGAAGATCCGGCGACAGGCTTAATCTCATTTCCAGTTTGAAAAGCCAGTTAGGTTTTAGATGGGTGGCAATATTCACGATATGACGTCTATGGGATCCTGTAAGGAGTTAACAGCAAAGATTCCATGCGATCGCCTACCTATCTTGTGTTAATAAAACAACTGTGTCGCTGGCATAAGTCATAACAGGGCACTAGACTGTTTAAGGGAAATACATAATATGGTCTTTAGGGTTTGAAGAGCTTTGCCTTTAAGATCTAAGGCTTTACAGATTTGCGAAATGTATATATAGCTCGTGTAGCGGTTTGGCGAAGTTCACAACGAATTAGGGGACTAACAAAATAATTTATTATTTGATTATGGACCTCTTGTAAGTCCGCACGGGTAGGTACCACCGCCCCGCCTATTTCTGCCGTGAAGCAGTAATGCGTTTCGGTTTGAAGGGTGGGGCAGCCGTTGTGACAATACTGAGACCTTAGAACTATATCTCAAGGTGTGTGGCGCATTTACGTTGTAAATGTCTATGGGCTCCAGTAACCACTTAACACCAGGTGGGCTGTGAGCTCATCCACAAATCTAAGCAATAAAAAATAAAAAAATCAATTCTATATTGTAGGAGTCACGCGTATTTACAGTCTTACTGTAATAACAGTTTAAAAAGGTCCGCAGAGATAGGTGTATTCCATTTTACTATCATGAAACAGGAAGGTTGGGAAACGCAGTTTACGATATCTATGAGCTGTGGTGGACAACACCGACTGGTCCAAGCGCTGGGCATAGGTTCAAAAAGAATAGCTTATTAATTTACCTTAACCCTCCATTGTATTAATCCCTCTCTAGTATCGAAAGCTAACACTGGAACGACGTCTTCGCACAATATCGCCAAGGTATTCGATTCCTTGTCCAACGTGAACCCTGACTCAAATCCAAGAAACTGCTGCAAGGATAATGAAGCCTTAGTCTGCCCGTTCTTCTGTCTCTCTTTTAGGTCCTTGTACAGCTGTAGGTGAACGCAATCTGTAAAGAAGGATCACAATTAATTCTGTGATAGTTGATTTTTGCAATTTTGTTTCTTTAGAAATGTTTTTTCTTTTTATGATTGAAAGATTACTGGTGGCCCGGAGGCCTTTCCAGTTTCACCAGGACATGTGGGCGAGCAAAGGCTCAGCCAGGAGGGGTGAATTTTAGAACTGCCAGATTGCCTTTAACGACTAGTAGTAAATCATTGTTTTTTTTTTTTTTTATTGCTTAGATGGGTGGACGAGCTCACAGCCCACCTGGTGTTAAAGGCTTACTGGAGCCCATAGACATCCACAACATAAATGTGCCACCCACCTTGAGATATAAGTTCTAAGGTCTCAAGTATAGTTACAACGGCTGCCCCACCCTTCAAACCGAAACACATTACTGCTTCACGGCAGAAATAGGCAGGGTGGTGGTACCCACCCGCGCGGACTCACAAAAGTTCCTACCACCAGTTGAGTTCTTGCAACTCCATTGCTGCCAGTGTCATGTTTAGAAAAATCTACAATTGTTTTAAATTATGAACGTACATATTACATTTTTGTAACAGAATTAATTTATTATAATTGATATGCCTACGGGCACAATGTAATGAACTAATTTATTATGCTAGGCACTTACTATTTATTGTAAATGATACTTCAAAGCGAAACCTTCACTTAACATGTACATAGGGAGCGAGAATAATAGAGTACAACATAGTATTATTACCTATTCTTGTTCATAAAATAATATTAGTACGTATCTCTAAGCGTCCTCCAAATTCAAATATCTTCGTACATAATATTATGTACTGTAGAATGATACGCGAGATTGCCTTGTGAGTAAGCTTTTTCGTATTCTTTTGTGACATCCACGTATATTACTTATTCATATGCTTAAATATCCCAAAGGTAAATAGGACGCTCAGTCAAGATTTCTCCCTGGAGTTGATGAGAATTATACGGGACGAAATTTGTTTTCAAAATGTTCGGAACACACATACTGAATGTTTGATCGACCAAAACTTTGAATTTTGTTAGCAGATCTAAATATTTTTGTATTGGTGCGATTTATTTTATTACATCGAATAACAATAATAACATCGTGTAATAAAAATCAAACCCGTCCAGTCAATAATAGTAGGCGGTAGGACCTCTTTTGAGTCCGCGCGGGTAGGTACCACCACCCTGCCTATTTTTGCCGTGAAGCAGTAATGCGTTTCGGCTTGAAGGGTGGGGCAGCCATTGTAACTATACTTAAGACTTTAGAACTAATATCTCAAGGTGGGTGACGCTTTTACATTGTAAATGTCTATAGGCTCCAATAACCACTTAACAACAGGTGGGCTGTGAGCTCGTCCACCCATCTAAGCTAAAACAAAAATTATTCAAGTGATATGGCTATTGGTATGATTAGGATCTCGGTTTGTTTTTGTTAATGTACTGAATGTATATAGATTGGAGATACTCCGCGTTTTGTTTAGCTTCATTTTAAAAATGCTTTCATTAGTTTTAAAATATCTGCACTTATAAGCAATAGACGATAGATAACTTTGCGTAGTTCCCACCAAATTTTGAACTGTGCTTATTAAAATCGTTAGACTACAAGGCGAAGGGAACCAACTTCATACATCCAATACACATACCAATGAGACAGATCCGTGGAATGTTTCGTTCTTTTAACCATCGCAACACCCACCACCGCTATATGATCTTTAATCGAGCAAAGTTTTAAACAAACGAACGTCAAGTAAAGCCGTAGTGGTACGGGTGAGCCTTATTCTGGTGTTTTTCTGGCGTCGACAAAGAGACACAGCGTAAGTTGAAAGCGTTGTTGAAAAAAAAATATTAAGACATTTTATTTAACATTTTCCTTTCGTATGTTTTATTCGTGTCAACGTGTTAAGATGCAGTGTTAGCGACGCGTTTCTGTTAAAGTGACACAATAAGGTTGTTTTATTGTGTTTTATGACGTAGCCGTATCGATCGGTACCCATCCGAGGGATTACAAACAACTACTTTAAAGGTCTATGCAAACAACCCTTTACGATATATTCAAGGATGATTGAAGTTTAAGAACGTCAACTGTCAGATTTTTAAGTTGTCATTATTATTTTTTTATTTTCTATTTTCGTTCCTGATGTTTATGGTAGTTGTAACATACAGCTTTTATACTAGATTCATTACTTTAACAGTAAATAAAAAAAAACATATATTCTAGATATTATTTTAAACACATACAATATATATTTACATTTGCTACTTGCTTAACGGTCCTTGTGGACTGGTAATAAATAATCAATCATCGAATTTGATCAAACAAAGCCTCAAGGCTTAAACCGACTAGTTGGAATTTCTTGTGTAAATTTAAACAGTCGCTACACAAAACGCGAACCAACCACAAACGTTTGAACAAATTAGATCGCGTTCAAACATGGTGGTTAAATTGCTATTGACTTCGAATACATTCTAAAGCGTTTCCAATTTAGACTAATCTTTTGACTGAAAAGGGTTTTCTGAATGGTTGCCAACATAAAAAAAAAACATTTCTTATGAGGAAATTTTGTTAAAATGCAGTCAGTGGCTTTATGTAATAGGTTTCCTTGGTTTGTTTGCCTTTGACATAAAATGTAAGTAATAAATGTCAAGGAAAAATGTTTGGCGGGACGCGATTTAAGTGTGTTTAATCTACATCTAGTCTACCATCTAGCACACAAATAGTGACTGCATTTTCTCAAAGAACTATTTTAGTACCTATCTAATAACAAACAAGACATTGACAGAAGAAGAAAAATGTACTCGGGGAGAGTAATTTTTTGTTACAAATCTGATGTTGATTTTCTATCTAAAATTATTTTATTACTTCCGAAAATAAACGATCCTAAGGTAAAAGAGTAGTTGATCACTGTCATTGGTAGACATACGAGTAGCAATGCCAGGGGCAATTGGCTGCCGTGTATTCATTGCTGTACCGGCTAAGATGTTTCTGGAAGGAGATTTCAAAGCGCATTTCTTGGTTTGCTTCAGCTATGTGAATCAAAATAGATGAACGAACATGTGTCGAGGGTTTTCAGTGCGTAGATCGGAGAACGAGCTCCCAACCCGCCTGGCGTTAAGTGGTTTCCTGAGTCTATAGATGAAGCCACCCTGCTTGAAATATGAAGTTGAAGTAACAATTGTATGGTAATGACACCTTCAAGTGTGATGGGTAGCCATCATACAACGCAAGATAATTGACAGATGCCTGAATCTCGTTTACGACATTTTCAAGATAACCTTACATATATACAAGTTCCGAACAACAACATTCGGACCGTCGGTCTACCGAGTAATATCACCCGCTCGGTGGAAGATCTTTCTTTTGTCGTATACCTGGGTCATACACAAAAAGGGTAAAAAAAGTGTTATAGCAATGTATCATCTAAAAGAGCAAATTGGCGAATATTTGAAAGTATTTAAATCGTAAAGGTACTATATTACTACTCATTTTAATCGTATCTTGTAAAATATTACATTTCATAAACTCATTTTGATGGCGTTAAACATCAAAAAATCTCTTCCTGTGGACTGTTACAAGACGAAGGTATAATGTTTGAGCCATGTTTAAAAATAGTTAAAGTACCCTATATATTAAAATTATTTACTTGTAACACAAACAATATAATAAAGATGATAATATTGAGAATAAAAAAAATATATCGTTACTATCTGTATACAATAAATCCAATAAACTTATGGTTACATGAAATGGAGTCTTTTCTGTGGACGCGATAAAACGATATCAAATTTTAATTTATTCGACCGCATTAAGTTTATGTTTTTAACTGTTGGCATCACTAAGTAGTGGCCATTTCGGCATTTGATATTTTGTTGTTTCGATTGCAGTGTGAGTGAAAATAAATTTTTTATTCCAAAACACACATAAACGTAAAAGATCAAGTGTTCTTTCCTGTTCCAATTATAGACATGTAAATATTATCTATAAAAATGTATATTTATTGTTTTTATGTGAGCATTTAGTACAAGTAAATGAAAAGCATGTTGCTTGATTTCTAACCTCAAAGTTAATTTCTTTACGCAAGAGTTTTTATAATACATCTTTTCTGTGGACATCTTTCCTGTGGTCCCGGTGTCCACCGAAAAGACTATGTCCACAGAAAATGTGTAAGAAACATACCTTAGTAGGTCTAAGTAGAGAAAGTAGTAAGTAGAAAAATAGTTGAACCGAGGGCCTACTCCTTTTTTAAAGTTAGTTAGAAAGAGGTTTGATTTTGGCAACATTTGATATTCTAAGTTAGAGCCTCAAACTTTTTAGTACATTTTATATTCGCAATAAAAAATAAAATAAATCTAATTAATGTAAATAGAGGAAACGAAATCATGTTTTTTATTTCTATTGATTTCGTTCAGGGGGTTCAACCCTTGGGTCGTGGGTTGGTCCATATCTTGGTTCGTTTTAGTTCATGCTGATTCAGACGATTCTGATAGTTCTCTGGAAATATTTTGAAATAATCAAAGTCCTTAAATTTCATTACATTGCATATTAAAATTCATTAGCTATCTAAAGAATTATATACGAGTAATATACCATGGCTGTAAAATTATTATAATTCGAAATTTTGTTTTGTTTCATAAGTGCACCGAAGGGATTTTCCTTTCTGTAGACATCATTATTTTATTTTTTATATTCCAATGAATGTGATTATTTTGACATTTTATTTGCGTTTCGGTATTCGTTTATATCAGTGGCTACATGTGTTTGATTATGTTGTCTTAATATATTTTAGCTTACGCTGCATCACAGCTTTTCATCTCTTGTAGACTAAATCGTCACTTCTGTGGTCCGCAAAAATATAAAAATTGCGATTATGCCAAAAATAAGACACATTGATCTCGGTTACAGTGATTAAAAGATTGATAATCAATAGTTAAATAATAAACAGTTTGTTTCACACTGATTCTGAGATATTTTTTTTGCTGCACTTTTTTGTTCTCTATTTGTGTATGACCCAC